GTACCGTAAAAGGGAATGTGGTAGCCCGCGACACGATCTCACTTATGGTGGAGTCAAATCTTCAAACGCGATTTGCTGGTGAACGGGACGTCGGAAGGAGGTACCGTCAAAGGGAATGTGGTAGCCCCCGACACGATCTTCCTGATGGTGGAGTAAAATCTTCAAACGCGAATTGCGGGTGAACGGGACGTCGGAAGTGGGTACCGTAAAAGGGAATGTGGTAGCCCGCGACACGATCTCACTCATGGTGGAGTCAAATCTTCAAACGCGAATTGCGGGTGAACGGGACGTCGGAAGGGGTACCGTCAAAGGGAATGTGGTAGCCCCCGACACGATCTTCCTGATGGTGGAGTCAAATCTTCAAAACGCGAATTGCGGGTGAACGGGACGTCGGAAGTGGTTAGTGAATGTAGTAGCCTTCGACAAAATCTGTTATTGATGGTTGAATCGAAAGTGGCTAATAGAATACTGATCTGCCACACAAAAATGCGCTGAAGTCCCTTCGATCTCAAACGAGGACTTTGACATTTTTTGTTTAAGTACCGACTGCTAGTCAGATATTTTACAATATATTTACAGAGTTTCAGCGTAAAGTTATGAGAAATCAGTATGCTCTTCAGCATAAATTAAATGACTTGGAACGTGTAATATCGGAATCTGCAAATATAAGAAAATCAAACATTAACCAAGTAACAGATGAGGAATCCGAACAGGTTCTTTCTATTTGGAAATTATTTCCACTTGATAGCGTACAAGCCTTGGAAGACGTGGAAAATTCTTTAGCGGACCAACAGCTGCAACAACATTTGGTTGGTAGATGCACTATACAAACATAATTCTTATAATTATTTTTAAGGCTCTGAAGTTTTCATTGGTAGGAGGAGAAACGGCAAAAGATATAACACGAAGAATATTATATTTAATGTTAACAAATGATGTGGCAAAACTGTATAGTTTTGACGGAGCAAAAGGAAAATTAAAATTTAAATCTTTGAAACTGTATCATTTGTTATTAGGTAAGTTATAGCAATGCATTTTTAACTCATATTTCTCTTTACCTATGTTTTACAGCATCAATTCGGAAGAATCAAAAAACGCATGACGCAACAGAAAGCGACATACTACCAGAAATCAGGCAGTGGCTGGCACAAGCAAAATTTAGGAAACAAAAATAATTTTATACTTTATTTTTGTTTTAAATACTTACAAAATAAAATCCATTTTATTGAAATCTTTTGAGTAATGTATGTACTCGTAGAAAACCACAGGTGCACCCTTTTTAAATTATAGTAAGCTATTTAAATTTTGTTTCAGCCTTTGGTTAAATTTGTACCTTTGTAAATAAGAAATTTGTTAATATTTACAAAGGTACAAATTGTACTGAAAGCTCTAATAATATGTAAGTAGGTCATCAAAATCAAAATGCAGGTTTAAATGTTTATGGAATATTAAGGTTGGGATTGCCTGAAAAGAGAAGTACCTATAGTAAAGGACAAAATTTTTTTCGTTGGACTGTGCTAGTATCTAATAATGAGTAGCGTAACTACAACAGTTTTCTACACAAATGTTTAAATCATTATATACGGGCTTTAAGTGGGCCCAAACAACATAGATGGAGCTTTAATAATAAAATTAATCTACACAAGGAGGCAATTTGATTTGCAACCACAACAGATGCAAGTATTGTCCTGATAAAGGTCGCCCACGTTCAGATGTAACTGTATCGAAAGGAATGTTCCTAGGTCACGTGTATGTGTCTCGTCTTTAGACAACAACCATTCTTTGTACTTAATTATGACATCATTTGAACTCATAAGAGCACGGCTTCGGATGAACCATTTCATTTGAAATTACATTTGCCCAGGAAGTATTTTGGTGCGCTCGGCAATTGTCTAGACACCAAGGAATAAATATTACTTGTTATTGCGATTTACGCGGATACCGTTTACGTTTTCTTAGATTTTCTTAGAATTCTTAGATACTTACTGTTTTTTGGCGTTTTCACTATGGGCAAACCGAAATTAAGAAAGGGGGGACATTGGAAAAAAAAAAATGTGCCAGTGGCAAATTTCGAGCAGAGGCGTCTCGGAGACACGCAATGGTTCGTGGAATGATTGACGAAATATTAGACCAAGTCGAGGAACAGAAGCAGTCGACCAAAGATTGCAAACATTTATTGAAGGAAATCGTCAGGAACGTCGAATTGAACACTGTTGACGAAGATGATTTGAATACTTTCGCGTGGGGCTCATCAGATGAATACGAAAGGTAAGTACAAAAGGTAAAAAATATGAATTTTTAGGAACAATGTTAGTAGACTTGAACACGGATCCACAAATACTTTTTTACAAAATAAACTTTGGCAAAAAAATGTTGATATACGAAACAGATAATGACATTTCAAGAGCCTACATAACTTTATTACAAAAAATTAAAGGTGAAGCGAATAAAAAGTGGTAGAAGCAGTTTTAGATAATATTCACGATGCCGAATCGAAGACCCCAAAATTTAAAAAAACATGTTTTAACTATTACAAAGTATATCCAATTAGAAACCAAATAAAACAAATTACAATGTAAATATTTTTTAACGTCCAACAACTTCATACATTTCATGTTTTTCGCGGTCGCGCACAGATCTTCCGTGGGCCACCCGAACGTCCAACATTTTTGCAAAATTCAAATTTACATTATTTGCCACAACATAGAGAGTTTTTTTTATAGTTCAGCGATGTGGAATTTTTAACCACTCCCTCCTCTTAAATTATTCATGGTATTATAAAAAAATTTGGTACATACCTACATAAAATTTGAGAACTTCCAAAAAATTGGTGAAAACATTTTATAATTGGAGGTGTTCATTTCACCAGCCTAAATTAGAGATTGTATATGAAATAATGAACCATTGTAGCATAAATAATTCCAAGTTGGATGTTGAAGTTGAAGAGCATGTTCCAAAATTACATGGATACAGAATCGTGGATATAGAATACATTCTGAGACAGACAGTGACCCTTCAAAGCGAGCATTCAAAAAAATGCACTGGCGGAATGCTCGTCCTCCAGGAAGAAATACAAAAGGGCTTAGTTAGTCGATTTGTATACAGATGCAATATCTGTGAAAAAACGAAGATCGTGTATTCTGAAAATCCGGAGAAAGAAATTATTAATAGAGCTACAGTTTGGGGAACTCTTGCGACAGGCAGTACCTTCGCACACACCTCTGAGTTTCTCAGCATACTGGATATTCCCCCAATGCGTGGCAACATGTTTTTTGACATTCAGAGGAATTTGGGGGATGTAAGTTAAACAATTTGCAAAAAAATGCTGTTATCCATACTCACTGCAGCTTTTACTACAACAGGTCTGGAAAGATTCGCTGTGGCAAAACATGGAGAAGGCCGGACAAGAAGAAAGAAAGATAGCAGTGGAACATGGAGATGTTGACACTGATGGCACTCCGTTTATTACTGTATTTCTTGATGGAGGATGGTCAAAGAGGAGTTACGGCCATAGCTACAATGCAGCATCTGGCGTGGTAAGGTCTCGCGTAATACGTATTTTTAATTAGATTAGATAGTTATCATAAAACACGAACAAGGGTTTAAATTTTCTAGGCAGTGATTATTGGCAGAGCGACAGGGAAGCTCTTATACTTAGGAGTTCGGAATAAATTTTGCTCCATATGCGCGAGGGCGCAAAATAAGAACAACGAGCCCAAGAAACATCTCTGTTTCCGCAATTGGACCGGATCATCGTCGTCCATGGAAGCTGATATAATAGTTGAGGGCTTTAACAGCAGCATTAACATGCACAATCTTCGGTATAAAAAGTTTATTGCAGACGGAGATTCAACCGTGTATTCACATATAAGAAAACGCGTGAGCTATGGGGAACAAGTACGTTGAATGCAATTTGTGTACACGTTGTTTCACGCCAACCGTTAGGTACCTAAAAGTCGAGCTAAAAGTATTCAGGCTTCGATTAATAATTTAAATCTGAAAATTTTCATACCAACATAGTGGTTCATGATCTATCGAATGAAAATATTATCATGATCGTTTCACTTTCGGTTTTTCCGGATGTCAATATCAACTTTCTTTTTAAATGAACACCCAATCACAATTTTAGAATATCTTAAATAAAACGAAAAGCATAACGGATAGGTGTAGGGAATGTAATAATTGATCGATGTAGAAATTTTTTCCATATTTGAAAGAACAAAATTTCATTTGAAAAACTCACTTTTAAGGTTTGAAATTATTAAAATTGACCGTTAGTTTTAAAACACCCTGCAGAAGGGCGATCAAAATTTAAATAATTTCATGTACCATCAAGTCAGTATGTTGATTTTGAAATTTTGAAACTCAGATCAATGGAGCCATAAATACAAGGCGCTAAAGAAAAGCAGTCAAACGTTAAACATTTTCAAAAATCTTGAAAAACTTGAAAACCTTTGATGCTGGATATAGGGAAACGTGGTATCAAACGATGCAGATTTTCATGGAGATTTGAAAAGATAATAAATATAGGGTGTTCTATTTAAAATAAGAAAGTTGCTATCCACATTCGGCAAAACCGAAAGTGAAACGATCATGATAATATTATCTGTTGATAGATCACCACTTTGTTGGTATGCAAATTTTCAGATTTATATTGTTAATGGGAGTTTGCGTGAAACGGCCTGTATATATGTATAATATATCAATACTTGATCAATACCTACAAAATGTGCTATACTTTCAGGTAGTAAAGATTGAATGCACAAACCACGCTATTAAAAACTACAGCAAGCACCTATATAAATTAAAAAGTGACACGAAAAATGTGGCACTTGCTACTAGAAAGCTACTTTCAAAAGACACCATAGGAGCTCTCGTCAAGTTCGCCCAAAAAGCAATTTACGCTAACTCACATGGAGATATTGCAACTCTCAAAAGTGACCTTCGCAACTCAGTAAAGCATGTTTTCGGAAATCATCTTGAGTGCGTTGAATATCTTTGTTCAGAGACCAAAGAGGAAATTGGTGATAAATATCAAACCTTGATATCAATAGGGGGCCAGCATCAGATATATGCGGCTTTGAATTCAATACTATCGAAAAGTGAATTACTCATCGATCGCGAAACTAATAACCGAGCGGAGCTATTTATGAGTGTGTTGGCGAGATTCAACATGGGCAAGCGTCTCAACCTCATTCAAAGAGATAGCTTCCAAACAAGGTCATTCCTGACTGGATTGCGCTACAATGAGGGGAGCACCTGGCACACCGAACCCTGGAAGCAGTGTTTTAAAGACAGCCCAGGAAAAAACTTTCAAAAGTATATGGAAAAAGAGGAAAAGAAGGCGACTAAGCGAAAGTCGTTAGCTAGCACTAGCACAGTCCGGAAACGGACTAAGTTCACGCATGAAGGTTCGTCAAGCGGACCACCCAGGGATTACGGCCCCGATTTTGCATCCATAGAGCCAAGGAAGGATGCGTTAGACGAGGAAGTTAGAAGGCTAGTCCAGCGTTTAGAGGTATTACAAACATAAAGGGTGAGCAAAATGTCTTGTTATGTATTGGGATCTCCGTTAATTCAGAAGATACAGCTTCTATTGAATTACACTAAAGTTATCTTATTGCCAAACTAATAAAATGCACTCTTTTTAATACCCTGCGATCAAAAATGAGTTGCTGTCGAGTCACCTTCGGAATGTTTGTTTACATGAGAAATCGTACTTAACTTGAACTCCCAAAGGCGACTCGATAGCACTTCATTTTTGATCGCCCGTTATTGAGTGGCTAAAAACCTGAAAATGTTTAAAAATTCTCCATTTTCTAACAATAGATAGGGCACGTGTTTGGAAAAAACAAGTTGGAAAGTACTCGATGCGTCGAGCTACTAAGTGCGTTTTGTGTGCAACGGATCGAGGTTTTTTTCAGCAAACTTGTTTTATAATACTTATAACTACATGCAAAGAATTGTGACACAAAGTTAATGCTTCAAACCCGATGATTCCTTCGAGAGTTATACTCTGCAACCGACAGAGCGACCGACCGACCAAACAACCAAAGTGAATATAAGCGCTACTATTTTTCAAAAACGCGCTGAAAAACAAAAAGGTATTCTATTAGTTCAGTAATAAGGCAATTTATGTATCATTTAACCGAAGTTGTACCTATTCAAATAACGGCAACCACACTATAGAGCAGGATACTTTGTTCACTCTCTATACAGTGAATATTCGAACGAACTTCATAAGCTATTTTAATCACAGGTTACTGAGGAAGAACGGACTGAAATTTCGGTGAAAACTATTGGCCAATTTGATAATTGTATTTATAAGAACGAGCGACTCCATAGACTAACCGCTTCAAAGTTTGGAGATGTAGTTAAAAGGAAAGACACAACCTCGTGCGATGCGTTAGTAAAATCAATTCTCAGCACGGACTATAGTTTTCAGTCACCTGCCATGGAATATGGCAAAATACACGAGGGTGTGGCCATAAGTAAGTTTGAAACACTTACTGGCAAAAAAGTTCAACAAGCGGGCCTATATATTGATGTAAATTGCGGATATTTAGGAGCATCTCCTGACGGTAACACTACTTACCTACCTGTTTTTGGCAAATTAAACACTTTCACAGATTGCGCTTATCGTTTCAGGGATAATTTGTGAGAATGAAATTGTAGAAGTAAAATGCTCCTTCAAAGTTGCAAATATGAAAAAATCTTTAAAAGAAGCGGTGGAGAGTAAAGAAGTGCAGTACTTGACTCTGAATGAAAATGGGGATATTTGTTTGAAGAAGACACACAACTATTACTACCAAGTAGGAAACAAGTACATGGTGTTTCAAAAACGTTTTTTATTATGATTATCTCCATAATAGGAAGGGTTTTAAATAGTTATTTGTACAACTAATGAACAAAGTGGAGTTTTTCAACTCGAGTTCAAAGTTTGACACATAAGCATAGCAAGTGTGTCAATTGAACGACTGTGGAAAGACACTTTCTTCTCAAGTTTTGCACATATTTTTTTCTGAAGCTACAATCAAAATTGAAAAATAATCGTATGCAATAACCAAGTTTGACACAACAATCTATATCTCGATAGTATGTTTCAATTTTATATGTCATTATTAAAACTAACGCGGCAATTGTTTTTACTTTCCTCACTAGAGAGGAAAATCACAGAAGAAAGTAGTTGTTTCTAAAGTAATAACTATTGTTGTTTACTTACCTCTTTCGTTCAATTTTTTATTATTATTATATGGAGGTATCAGTGAGAAATGAATTTGATACATACCTATAGGTAGTTAAGGTACAACGTGTACAAATAAGTTTTTTTAAAATTTTAGATTCAAGGACAGCTCGCCATAACTAACGCCAAAACGTGTTTCTTCATTGTTTATTCGGGCGACGATAACGAATTGTTTGTTCAGGAAGTTTTAAAGGACAGCCATTTATGGAACGCCACTATGCTCCCAAAATTGATGCGATTTTATTTAGAGTGTGTTGCACCTGAAATTATACTGAACAGACGAGGGCGAAACTTGAAATGTGTCGATCCACAATACATCCTGGATGCTCAGAAGGAGCAGAAACAAAAACAAACACAGAAGCAGAAGCGAAAGCAGAAGCAGACACAGAAGCAGAAGTAAAAGACAAAAGCACAGATGAAAAGAAATAAAAAATGGCAGTTAGTGAGGCGATTGGAACCTCACCAATCGCACCGAACAATGTATTACACGGCTATTAATTTGCCCACAACTGTATTTAATCACAAAATCAACTGTGTTGGTAATGAGGTTGGTAACTTCTTATCGCGAGCTGTAAAACCAATTAATAGTCCACTTGACCTAAAATTTTCACGCTCTTCTCTCAATCAAAATTTTGTTGCTTCTACTTTATTTAATAAGTATAATTTTTATAGCCAAAAGGGCATTTCCTATTTTCCAATCGTTTCCAAATTCTTCTCAAGTTTTAGGACAATTAGAGAGAACATTGGTACAAAATTTCATCCAAATGGGTGTGCTCCTTACCTAATTCAATAAATATCGATTTTATTGCCTAAAGGCATTTGCCACTTTCGAATCTCTTCCAAAAGCTGTTCAGCTCCCAAGACCATGTATGGAAACGTCTGTTACAAATTTCAACCAAATCGGTCGAGTAGTTTCGACTGAAGCTTATTTACAAGAATCGTGCCGTCCGCAGATACACATACCTCGCACACTTTTTTGGACTCCTGGGACCTTGAAACGCAAAGTTCCGGTAAAATATCAAAATCGAAGTTTGGAGTGAGTTCAATTTTTTATTGGGGAGGTTGAAAGAAAAGTGATTTACAATTCATAACACGATTCTCCATCCAGATATTCACTGTTATCGCGATTTGACTAAGCTGTTTCTAATTCATTATCTATAAAGTTCAGTAAAGGTTCTTTCTACCAAAACATCAAACGCTTTCGTGCACAAGTATCTGAAAAAACCATAATGGACTATTTATCTGAACTACGAACAACAGCGAAGAACCATTTTTGTTATCGAAATTTGTTTTTTCGAAATGAAATCTCTTTTCAGTGAAAACTGTTGTTTTTTACACTAACTAGAGATGACCCTCTGATGTCATCGAACTTTGTTTTCAAACAACTCATAGTTAAAAAACTAATATTTTTTGTCGGCAAAACGGTTAATTTGATTTTGTTAAAATTTTGCAAATGTATATTACGCATTAAGGATACCTATATTGTTTATTTTTCATTTGGCATTTGGCATATTGAACTGTCGCCTGTTATAGACGTATGAAAATTTTAGATATATCTTTACCTGATAACAGAACTCTGAAATTCCCAAATTATGGTGTAAACAGGAACAGGTGGTTTTTCCGACTGAAACTGAAGAAAGTAAATTCTATATAAACCAGGTGTCAAATTCTTGACAGAATAGCTTCCTAGCTGAAACCAAAAATTGCCAACGTATGTACGCACTTACAGACGGGAAAAATTTATTCTTTAAAAGTTGCTTAAAATGATCTAAAACGTCAACATTTGATGAAATTTCGCATTGTACCTAGCTCATGCTATGAAGAGAAAACCGTCAATTCGTGGAATTGTATGCGCTAATGTTTCATAAATAAGAAAATTGCATTTCTGCGCATGCGCAACACGATTTTTGCGCATGAATTTTGTTTGCTTTTATTAAAGGGACTTACCATAGAAATTTCGTTTAAATTGCTTCAGAAACAAGATCGTTGCGTTTTGCACATATGCAACACAATTTTTTGACTTTGACAATTTTTTTCTCCGTTTTTTGATAATATAACCCGGCCCAATTTTTTGTAGGTTGTACACAGGAAAATAAAGTCTTCCAAATAATAGAATAAAAATTTTAGGTTGCTATTTGAAAAAAAAAGTTCGATGCCGTTACGGCGCTCCAAAATTTTTTTTCAAAAATCCGGCCCGTTTTTTTTTCTGTTCGGTATGCCTAAAACATATATACAAAATTTCAACAAAATCCGTCGAGCCGTTTTCTCAGAAAATTGCCAACAAACGTACGTACGTACATACAGACGGAAAAAAATTTTATTCTTTAAAAGTTACTTAAAATGGTCTAAAACGTCGACATTTGATGAAATTTTGAAATGTTCAAAAAACGGCTATCGCAATAGCTACCTAGCACATGCTAGGAAGCTAAAAATATGAAAGAACATCTTTCTGAAACTCTGGGATATTATTACATAATTTAAATGAGGCGAAAAAGATTAGTAGAGAAGGCCATACGCCTACACAAGGCCGTGCTGACAAACACACAATACAAAGAGCCATTGTTCTAAAAATATCGCATCCACCGTGATTGCACCTGTAAATGCAGTCTAGCTAGAATCGATACTATATTATGTCTATCTATCTAGTGTACTTATCTTTAATTAATACAAAAAAAGTATTTTTCGGTTTTCGTATTTAATAATAGTTTTTTATTATACCATGATAATAGTTAGAATGCAGAAGTGCTATAATAATTTCGTTGAAACTTAGGTTGCTACCCAATTGGTACTCGATAATCATACACTTACGGGACCGGGCGGGTATCGGATATCGCCAGGAACGGTCGTGGTCGGTTTACCAAATATGGTATTTTTTAATCAATTTTTGTTGTACATCAAGTAGGTCTCTACGCCTATTAAGGGTTCATTCAATAACCTGTTTAGGCGTTATTTTTTACATAACACAAATATTTTTATTGAATACAAAACACGATGTGAATTAGTTTTTCATAATACATAACTGTAAATATTGAATAAAAAACCTTTCTTCAAAGTTGTAAATTATAACGTCTTTTGTAAATATGCCGAGCGATGGTAGCGCCCTCTGTTAGAAAGAGGCTACACTGTTGACCGTGATATTAGTCACAGCTCCGTAGTTTATTCCGATTTTGTCAGTCGACATGTCCATTTTTCAGAACTTCATTCACCACTTTTATTATGAAAACTTTTGAGCTTCACATGGATTACCAAAATATACGTAAGTATTCACGCTACCGATCCCATACACTCGTATTGCTTAAAATGCTCCCTAATTTTTGCAATTAATTCCTAAAGTATGAACTCTTTTGACGCATGTTTTCTAGATTTTTTAAACATATATTAATGGACAAAATATCAGTTTATATTGTATGGAAACAATGCTCTGTACATCTATCTACCTAATGCATATTTTTCCGATCATATACACCTCTTGCTTATGAAATGGTGAATGAAGTTCAGAGGCAATGCACCCCCCATTGAATTACATGTGCATCACAAGTTGCCTATATTCTCTAAATCCAAACCTTAAAGCGGGGTTCACATTTGTGCATTTTCATGCTGCATTTGATGGCGCATCAAGTTGCTGCATTTTTTCATGCGCGCGTAGCTATTCAGATTACTGCAATTTTTGATGCAATTACAAATATCACTAGTTAGGGAATTTACTTTTTGCCAACCCAGTTCTCCTCAATTGGCATTCTGGAGTAAAAAATAAAAGTGTTTTTCTTATAAATTTTTCCCTCAAAGTTCAAATACTTGAAGTATGGATGTGGAAGAAATTGTTCTAATAACACTTATAATTGGTGCATCTGCAGCTTTATTATTAAATCGTAAGAGACGGTGGTGGGTAAGACCATGGATTGAGCAACGGGAAACAAATAGTCAAGGCAATTCTAATTTGTTGCACAATGAATTAGCAGTGCTGGATAAAGAAAATTACAAGAATTTTATTAGAATGGATGAAGATACTTTCAATGATCTATTGAAACTTATTGAAAATGATATACAGAAACAGGACACTAAATTCAGGAATGCAATTTCGGCCAAAGACCGATTATCTGTTACATTGCGCTATCTAGCTACTGGCGAGTCTTATAAAAGTCTTTCCTTTTCATTTAGAATGGGACAATCAACAATTGCTGGAATAATCCCAGAAGTTTGCATTGCCATTTACAATAATTTAAAAAATCAGTATTTAAAGGTAGATACAGCTACACTCGACAATGAATAAAAATGATGTTTAACTAAATAATATTTTTAGATGCCTACTACAACCCAAGAATGGTTAAAAATTGCTAATGAATTTGAAGAAAGATGGAACTTGCCACATGTGTTAGGTGCATTAGATGGTAAACACGTTGTTATAAAAGCTCCCGCAAATGAAGGATCGTCATATTTTAATTATAAGCACACACACAGTATCGTACTATTGGCTTTGGTTGATGCCAATTATAGCTTTTTATATGTCGATGTGGGTAGAAATGGAAAAATTTCAGATGGGGGTGTATACAAGAATAGTTCACTTGCTGCAGCGATTGAAACAAACAAATTAAATTTTCCAGAGGAAAGACCATTGCCAGCGGGTACCAAACCAGTACCATATGTAATAGTTGCTGATGCAGCATTTCCATTATCCCGTCATATTTTAAAGCCGTTTCCATTTCGTAATATGACTTGGCAACAACGTATATTCAATTATCGCCTAAGCAGAGCACGAAGAGTTGTGGAGAACGCATTTGGGATATTAACAAATCGTTTTCGTGTATTATTGAACATTATAAGTTTGGACCCAAGTAAGGCCCAAACATTAACTCTAGCATGCATTGTGCTACATAATTTTTTGCGAACAAGGTCCCCAAATGGTTATGATGTTAAGGAACAGAACATTGATAGGCGATTCACATTTAAGTACACCTTAAGTCGACAAGCAGGCAACAGGTCAACTGCATCAGCACTTGATAATCGAAATGAATTTGTACAATATGTAAATGGTATAGGAGCAGTAGAATGGCAAAATGACTTAGCATAGCATTATTATTATCAATAAACAAATGTACAAAATAAAATCTAATCATATTGAGCATCAACAACTTTTGTAAATATCTCCTTCTTCAACATCCGTATTTTGTAAGGGTCTTCGACTTTCCTCAACTCTGTTGCGATTGTCCTACAACATAATAAAAATTGATAGTTTTTTTAATATTTATCACTGGCAACTTATTTAATTGCTATTTAAAACACTTACTTTGCAAATATATCAAATTCATCTTCAATGTGGGGCCTTTTTTTGCAACTTTCGAGGGATTGTACAGCGGTTTGGATTAGGTCTGCCACAGAGTTCTGCATTTTCCTCTTGCTTTTTGATACTGTAGGTGTAGTTGCCCTTGATGTCGATGTTTGTGAAGTGCATGGACTGTTATTGAAAGCATCAACTTCATATTCATCCAGGTCTTCCAGCGTGCCTTCAAACACAATATCCTCATCATATGTAACTGTAGTACCATTGGGCGTGAATATTTGGGTCTCCTTAAAATCAATTACAATGTGATTATTTTAAAAACCTTATAAATAAATACTTACTGATGGTTCAATATTTGATTGGCTTTCCCTCACTGGATCGCATTCGTTTAAAAACTGCAGCATGTCAAAACACCAAAGTTTCGGTTCGTAGGAATCTGCTGAACAACCACTGGACAAAAATTTTTTTAATAGTGCCACCTCTTTCTTAAATTGCGTCCGAATTACGTGTACTTTTTTAATTATGTCTTGGTCCGTTAAATTGCGGCACTCAACCTGATACTTTTTCATCAATTCATTTTTTATTGATTGTATTGCATTTTGCCGTTTCATTTTATTCTTATATTCTTTCATTTTCGTTGTATACAATAAGGGTTGCGCTTCGTACAAAATTATAAGGTCCTCCACTAAGGTACGCGACCATGGAAAAGCACGTATTTCACGGTTCATTTTTAACACTAAATAAAATAATTAACCCAATTCCAAACTGTTTAAAATTAAAATGTAAGGTTAAGAAACATAAACAGCCATGAGTCAACGAACTTTTCGTTGCAAACTTAATTCTAGCTATTGGCAAGAGAAATATTCCTAAAAATATTACTAAAGATGCGCCAAAAAATGCATACAAAATAGAACGTGGTCTAAAGCATGCATTTCCATGCGCATCAAAAATTGCAAGAAAAAATGCATAATGTGAAGGGGAAAAATGCAAGCATTTTAATGCCGCATCACAGTTGCAGCATGGAAATGCACAAATGTGAACCCCGCTTAAGAAATATTTGGAACAATATGATATAAATGTATTACAAACATTATAACAACATTATCAGAAAGTATGCCAATATTATGATAGCATTTATACATGTTTTACAAATATTTAAAAAATATTTTAGTAAATGTGTAGAAAATATTAGAAGTGGGACATCTAGATGTTTCCTAAATGTTTTGAAAAGGTTTCGAGGCAAATGTTAAATATTCTACCAATATTTCATAGATTTGAACAAAATCTTTATTATATGTTATAGATATGTTGGTGTGCTATGTGGGATTGGATGGTCTGTGCTCTGCATTTTGCGTGAAATTCTGTTTTCTGGATATCCTTACATCTTTATTCAATAACAAACGATAAATAAAACGGATAAAACCACATTGATTAGTGTGTAGTGTAGTGTACATTTGTGTACTAAATATTTGAGCTGCAAAAGCAATAATGGCGGATGAGGTAAGTTTTAAGTAATATTAAAATGTTCTACTCTACAAAAATTTGCGTTTATGCGTACAAATGAAATGTACAGTACAACTGCACAAGGTACTGCCTACAAAATTAGATACCTAGATGTAGATTTTTATCAAATTCTGGAATAATTTTTTATAGGTTAGAAATTCTTGTGATACATAATCTGTTTTAGATTGCAGTAGGTAATTAAGTTTATGATCAGATTGAACCACAAAAGACCTACTGGGAAATGCAACTACCTATGTAGAATATAATAATAATAACAATTGAACTATTCGGAAGCAAATAACTACATTAACAATCTCGCTCAAGTTTTGTTTAATAGCATTGCCCGATTTTGAGTCTAACTATAACTCAAAATTTAGAAATACAATAACGACTGTAAAGGGTGCGCGGCATTATAATTTGTATGTTGAAAGAGGGTAAAACATTTTTTTAAATTTTTAATATGTCCTGATTTTGTCGTTATAAACTCGTATTATAAATTGTTCTTAAACATCATACAACACAACTATGCAGAAAATGCGATCATAAATTAGTTGTGGATTCAGCACAGCTTTTATTTGATGAAAAAAATTCGAGACAACAAAAAGAGTTCGTTGCACGGCACAGAAGTTCCCCTGTAAGAATAGCAAATGGTGGTCCAGAACTCATTTTTGATCGGACAGTGCTCTACTTGCACGTTTTGTTGTATGATGTTTACGTTCTATCACCACCAAATCGTGTGGCAATACCGCATACAACATACAAATTATAATGCTGCAGCCTACATTTAACCGATGCAGTCCCAACAAAACAACTATGTTCCTAGTCCAATCTGGCGCTGATTAACTAGTTTGAATTTTATTTAGAGAGTTCCAATTCCAAGAAGGAAGCCATATTCAAAAATGACTCTTAATTACCTAAAACGATGCATTAAGAAAACTTCTCAAATAAGGTCGAAACCAACTGATTCGTCATTACCAAGTACTTCAGCCTCGACTTCAGCAATACCTCATGTACCATCTAGTTCAGGTCACTCGTCTCCTACTTTAATTGTCGATGATGGTGACAGTTCTAGTTCTAGCCTCGGTTCTAGCTCTACTAGTGACGTTTCTGTGAGACATTCGATTTCCATAAATAGTGAAGAGACAATTTTATTTAATGATTCTTCTATAAACTCTAATTTTAATTTTCGGAATAAACTGTGTGAATGGGTTGTGAAATCTCATACTCCTCAGTCACATGTTACAGATCTCTTAGGTATTTTGAAGAAAATCACTGATTTAAATGAAGTGCTAAGAAAAATCGATTGTATTATGTTAAATACAATATTGTTCTTGTACTACTAAACGTAACTCATTTTATTTTTAGAATGAAATAATTTCATTGAAAACATACCGTTTTAACTCTAAAGTTGTTACATGTTATAGACATAAGATATTACTGGAATGCACTCCTAAATATGACGTGTTGTTGTTTAGAACACAGCATGCTTACTATATACACACGACGACATTAACTCATCATACGATGCATGTTAATAATTAGAAGATCGCCACATCTTACCAATTGAGCTGTAGTGTATCAAATTTAGTAGGTGTCGATTTTATTAATACTTATACTGTCTTTATGAAATGATCCCTTGATGACCACATCACTAACGTACCTAAATCAATGGCTTCTCATACGTCAGATAGATAAACAGGCACAGGCAGACGGACGGACAATATAAAAAATAGCAGCATTAATGTCTATTAGATAAATTTGGATGTGCATTCCATAAGATACTTATTGTTTATTACTACATTGTTTATTCGTTTTTGCAACAATATGGGATAACTTTGTATAGTGTTTTTGGATTTCGGCTATGACCTTTTACCGTAGTCTCTAAATACCTACCTCATAAGGAATTTGTGACTCATAAAGGATGTCTTTAATTGAGACTTTACATCTTTTTTAAAACAATACGCATTGAACTAAATTAACACAACTCAATTTTATAATTAGGTAATATAGCACTTTCTATAATATGATACACGTTATCTGCGAAATGTGCTATTTTTATTTTAAGACAAAGAACGCGAGTAAGGTAAATTCAGATTTCTTATTGCAATTATGCACAACCTAATCGTGGTTCTCCATTACGACTTTTGCAGTACAGAAGTTCAGAAGCTTTCTTCGCTGTTAAATTCGTGCCATACCTACCATTGTTTAAATTTTTGTTTAATAATTAATATTATCACTTATGTGATTTAATGGACGAAGAGACAAAGTTGTTGTTAAGTGAATGGGGATTCCAGTCCCACATCGATAAATTTTCCGGTAAGTAAAACTGTTTTCATTGAGTTAGATCGTTAATAGTAATGCTTTTATAGCAGAATATGATCATTAGACTTTTCAATTTTCATTTGTACGTTAACTATAACTTTTGAAAGTCAAATATCTGATACTTTTAATGGTAATTTCAGAAGAACAAATAGACTTGGCTACATTAAGGCTGGTACAGGAATCGGACCTGCAGCGATTGATTCCGGTGACAGGGCCGAGGGTAAAGTTTCGGTGCCATCTAGAAGAGTGGAGACAAAGATTAAAAGCAGCCACTAGTACTTTCAATGTTGAACCAGAGGTATGTTTGAATTGTTTGGTTTCTTTTATTATTAATAAGAGTCCTCAAATCCTTTATAGTTTTGTATTCATTGTCCGTCCACACGTGTGTGCAATAATTCCTCTAAAGCCTCCAATCACAACGAAATTCTATATCGAAAGACCTTTTTCGGTGTAATTTACTTACATTTATAATTTATTGCTTTCAGACCTTCTCAGAAGGCGATATCTTGGATATCAGTCAAAAGATATTAGAAGCAACAGGGTACAATAACGAAAACACCTTACCTTTAGATTTTTACCAAGGAGAAGAATTTATCGAAGATCAAGCTACGCAGGAGGCAAAAAAGCAAAGGATTGAAGGAACCACACATAGAACTGATTTTGGTTCGACCAGTCAAGGATCATCTTGTTTAACAGATTACAACAAAACTTACGTACGTATTTTCGATAAAAACTGACTATACTGATGACAACGAATATTGTTTATTGGGAATCGTAAATATTTTACAAAAATGTTAAATTGGAAAGCTTATAGGCTCTTACTCTAACAGTGCAATAGGTTGTCAGCTCGGTTTTCAGGCATCTAAATGTATTACTTCCTATACAAGGTTTTTTTATTTCATAGGTTGAAACTGTACTTAGTAAAAGTGTAGAAGGAAAGGCATTGATTCAAAGCGGAAAAACTGGAAAACTAAATGATAAGCAGAAGAGGCTTTTAGGAAAAATATTAATTACCGATATTCTAACTGCCAACCCAGATAAGAGACTGACGGAAACAGAATACACACAACTTGGTTTGGCCATTAATAGCCTATTTCCGAAAGAGCCAGTTGCGCTATACTATAGTGTCAGCCTAGACCACACGGCGTACTCAACCAAACGCCTCGCAAGAGGAATACTTTTGCAGGCGTGGAACACAAGAAGAAGACAACTTCGGCAATTAGGAGAAGTGAAGTATACGCCAAGGAAGAAGTCTACTTCCAGTGCCAACTCTAGCCCTTTTGATTCGCCTATTGGTACACCACTCGTTCTACATGAAGACATAGATGAGGTTGAAGATGAAAAATTGAAAACGCTGCGAAGCACAATCGAGCCTTGGTCTGTCGTGGAAGCGGCTTGGAGAGACACAACAGCTACACGACTAAAGAAATTGGAAAAGGGAAATACTACGTTGGATGAATATTTTACAGAGTATCCTGCTTTAAAACAGCCTCTTGGATTTCGTTTGGTAAGTTTGCATTCGTTTAACCTATTATGTTATCAAAAATCTCTAAACCTTCCCCATATATTTTATTCGTTGAAGTATGGGGAAGGTTTAGAGATTTTTGATAACATAATATATTTCAACCCCATTTCGAG